CAGCTCTCATAGCACTCGTGAGGAAGGTCTCCAAGCTACAGCTGACGTGCGCATACCTCCTGCACTGCCGTCCTCCAAGGACACTTCTCCGGTCCTTGTTCCCACTGTTGAGCAGAGACAAGGTCCAAGCCGCTCCCCTGCTCACCCTGCCCCTGCATGATTTACACTCCTGACCCTCCACGGCTGCCTTAAATGAAAACACGAATGTATCTTCAAAAGGCTTTCTGGGATAACTGGTTTCTCCTGATAGCTTCAGCTTTGACAAGTGGCGGCAAAGGATACTCAAGAGAGGTACAAGCTGTATTACATGATGCTGATGCTGGCTACGCTCACCGGGTCCTGGCAGGTCCCTGGGGACAGCCCCGGGCACCGAGACCCTCTTCCCACTGATGCCAAGCAGACGCTTGCTCCATCCATCCCCTCACTGAGCTTTCCAGTGCGGCCAAACCCCCAGTTACTGTCTGACAGTGCTGCTGGGATCGCTCCCACACCGCAGCCTTGGAGCTGTTTTCTGAACCGTGTACCCTCACCAGCAGGAGGAAGAGATCCCCTCCAGCCCTGCAGAGCACTGCGCGCCCGGGAAGCTCTCCGAACGCGGTTCCCGTCAGCCGAGCTCCCAGTTGAGCCCTGCGGGGCCGGGGCAGAGGCCAGTCCCCGCACCTGCAGGATGGGCTGCACCAGGCTCCGCAGCGAAGTGCAGGTTTGCGCTTCCCAGCTGACGGCTGCTTTTTGCAGCACGAGGCGGTTCTGGGCCAGTGCCCGGAGCGTTACTGACTTGCAGGAAAGGTGCAAACGGTGACCCCGGGCCATACTTTGTAATGGCCTGATGCAAACTTTGCAATGAGACCCTGGAGGAGGCAGGCGGGGGCATCCTGAAACCACAGGACACTCTCCCAGAGCCAGGCAGAGAGGAGCGGCATGGCTCCTGGGGCAGCCCTGGAGCACGTCCATCCCTGCATTGGCCAAACCGGCACCCCAGGGCACATGGCGTGTCTGAGGGCAGTAAGGTACCACCAGTGCAATGCCACGCACAGGCTCAGCCAGCCCTTCCCAGCAATCGGCATCAGCAGCCTACCTGGAAAGCAGCTCGCCTGCCCACGGTTCGGTGTGAGGGGCCCAGGACCAGCTCAGCACCTCTGCATCGCACTGCACTTCCAGCCCCCAGCACCGCTCTGTGGGAACCGGGCATCCACATAGCCACAATGCCAACGTGCCCAAAGGAAATCCAGTCCCACCATTCGTAACTGCACGTGTGCCAGCCCTGCACCCCGCCATGCTCTCAGTGCTCGTGCCAAGGGGGTTCGGCACCCCGGCACTGCCTGCCCTTACCCCACACCCCAACTCTGCCCAGGGATTCATGGCACCGGCTCACAGGTCCCACGGGAACCACGGAGCTGCCCTCCCGCCCTCTGGTTTCAGCTCTGCATAGTGCGAACGTCTGGGGCCAGGGACTCTCCGAAGCTCTGTTTTTATTGTCAAATACTCCAGCATACTTTTCTCCATCTCCTCCGGGGCCTTCCCTTCCTTTCTGCATTTTTTCCCCTCCTATCTTCCCTTTTAAAAATTCCTTTAAAGAAATCAAAAAAACGCGCAGCTGTTCTGGACGATGTAAATAGGAGGCTGCAGACTAGCAGCACGTTCCTTCCCAAGGCGGCTCTGAATCAGCCGCCTGCAAACCGCGCTCGCAGGAATCTGCAGCTTTCTGCTTCTCCCTGCTTTCTGCAAACCACCAACCCAGGTCAGGAAGCCAGACTTGTTTGCACAAAGTTCCGTAGTGAGATCAATAAGGCACTATTTTTACTGATTTCTGTGAAAACACCTTAATGCTCTGACAATAAAAGAGCCCTCAGGAAGCAGCGACTGCTCCCTTCTTCGGCACCTCCACCCACGCAGGGACCCCACCGCCACGGGGGCTGGAGCCAAACTGGCCACACCGGGGTGGCTCCTTGGTGACCGCTGCCATCTGCACACCCACCCCTAGCAGACACCAACACGGACGGCATCTTTTTTTTTTAATCTTTGCTGACAATTACAGCCAGTAACTCGAAAGCCAGCATCAGATCGGCATTAAGTGGCCCGGCCATGGATACTTCACGCACAGCGCTGAGGACCAAGACTAAAGACGGTGACTGCTCCATGCCAGAAGCGAGAAGCGCTGTGCTGGTGGCGGCTGGGGAGGAGGGAAGAGCAGGGCACAAACGTGCCCTGTCTGCCGGCGTAAGCAGGTTGTTTCTCTCCTGTTTGGATGCTGCTTCATGAACGCTCTTTGCTAACTCGGTCCTGACATCTCTCAGGCACTCCAGAGCTGAAAGGTTTGACTGCACCGAGCTCTGGGTGAGCAGGACCTGGAAACACAACAGGGATCCTGCTCCCACCGAAATCCCTGGGAAACCTCTGTGGGGACCTCGGGAGACACGGCTGTGGGTCCTTTCAGTGATATGGAAGTGCCAAGTGTCCCTGGAGAGCCGGAGCAGGCGCAGAGAGGCACTCACCGCGACCAAGGCCAAGCCTGACGCCAGATACAGCTGCCGACGCCATCTGGTCCCACGGATTCAGCTCAGTGGGTATTTGTCTTTTCACAGACATGTATAATGCGCTTTTGAATTTTAAAGCAATAGGTAAGCATAGTGTAATTTTAAAACTAATTAAAAGAATGCACTGAATAAGAGTTAGGCCTTCCCTTAGGGCAAAGGGTTTATTTTAATTAAAAAAAACCATCAAGAGGAGCACTTGAAAAAGTAAACATTTAAAAAATGTATATTCACACAAAGATCACGTGTCCCTCACAGCAATCACACAAATGAACACCATCCTTCCTCATCAATGCCAAGGCAACTTCCTATTGCACTACCTTTTCAAGGAGGCAATTTTAATAAAGATAAGCCTGGCATAGGAAAAAAAAAAAAAAAAAACAAAAAACCAAACACACACACCCTTTTCTAAAGAAAAAACCTTTTTAATAGCAAGGCCTTCACTGAAGTTGAACAAACAACTCAAGACTGGATGCCTTTTAAAAAGCTCATCCAGGAGTTTATAGGCATGATTCATGAAACACTAGATGAAATTCTATGGTCGGTCTCATGAAAAGGCTCGGAGCAGATAATCAGTTGCCCTTGACCTTCAAATTTATGAGTCTGCAAAAAGTTAGCTTTGTGGGTTACAGCTGTAGCATGTGCCTCCCCAGCTAGAGATGGCTGCAGCCAGCACCACAGCAAACTTCTGTCTCCGCACAAGGACACGTTTCCACATGAACTGGTGTAAATGTGAAACAGGGCCCATAAAAGCACCCACAGGCCACATTCAGTATTAACCCTGAAGTTGCTTATTGCTGTAAATTACTAATCTGATTTCTCTTAGCAGATACAGAAAAGGCTGAAGTGAAAGGGTAAGGGGAAAGGGAGTGAAAAACTACCTTCCCCAAGCTTTTTATTCCAGCAGAGACTGAGGAAAGCGCTTTGCTCACCCCGTGACGCTGCCAGCCACGGCAGCATCACCCCCGCTCCTGTTCACTCGTTCTGCACGGTCACAAATGCCACACTGGACAGCGTTTCCCTGCTCTCCCCGGCCTGCGAGACCAAAGGGGGTTATCACTTACAGCCTCATACGGGGGTTATCTGAGGAAAGAAAAGGGAGCTGCAGCACTCCAGATCTAAATCAAGAAGAAATTAGAACGTGCTTTTTTATGGCAGGATCTACATAGAAATTCAGGGGTGGGCGGAATTCATTCCCAAAAAATTAGTTTTGCTGGTTTGTTTTCTTTCTGGAGACAAACAGCAGCAGCAGCGGAGGGGACGGAGGCCCCGTTCATCTCTGTGCATTCATCCCTGCTGACCCCGGGTGATGGGACGGGTGCCACGGGGCAGGGAACAGGG